ACCAGATACTGAGTACAGTATTCAATATGCAGCAGTGGGAAAACTCAACTACACCATAGACAGTGATGTGACACGGGTCACAGTCATAAACCAGAGTCTTATCAAAGCCAAAGAGTCTGCAATTGAAAATCTCAGTTTGACTGAAAGCAAGTGCAGTGTCCTTTTGGAAAACACCAGTGAAACAACTTTTACTGCACTTTATAAGAAAATACAAGATATGCAGCAAAACTGTCAAATGTACAGACAAGAATTCACTGACCGAATTAAATCTGTGATCCAGTCAGTTAAAGCTTGTGAGAAAGAGTCTAGTGCTCTGATGGATCTTCTACAAGCTCATGATGAGTCTCCATTTAATGAAAAGTGTCTAAAAGAGTGGATCACAGTGAAAGAAAAAGAATTGAACACCATTAATGAGTTCCTTCAGCAGTTAATGTGCCTTGGAGCCGAAGTGAACAGAAGCTTGGACTCATATTTGTCAGATATTCAGGTGGAAAATGTGTTTTGTTACACTTTCAGTTCTCTTGAGCAGCCAGATGAGTTACTTAGTGAGCAAGAAAATGACATGAATCCTCAAATAATGAGAAACCCAAAGAAGACACATGATGCATCTCAGTCATGGCTCACTGGAAGCGTCAGGGAGAAAATGAGAGAACATTTGAAAATATTTAAAGAGCTGATGACGTCACATAGCAATCAAAGCATTAAATTTATGATTTCCATAAAAGACCATGAAAAACATCCAGGTTCCTGTATTCTTGTGTATGAAAATGGATGTAATGAAGCCGTTTGCTTCACTCCTCCATCAAAACCAGACTGTCCAATCACTGAAGATGTCCGAAGTAGGCAAGCCGATCTGAAAGTGTCTTCACCGTGTCCTGCTACAGAGGAGCTCAAAATACTGTACAAAATGAAGGAGGAGAAAGACTGGAGATCTCAAACTGTGTCAAAGGACCAGAATACAGTCACTCTGACTGATCTCAGACCAGATACTGAGTACCAAATTAAATGTGCAGCAGTGGGAAAACTCAACTACACCACTGAATCTGATGTCACCTCAGTTATCGCAAAGGTATGATGCTCATTCAATAATTCAGTTCATTTACATCATTACCCACTGTTATTTAAATGTTTACATTTTAAGGCCCTTCCACATGACTTGTACTGTTCAGCACAAGCAACACAATGCTGATAGTATCTCATTAAAGAACAATTTTACGATGTTGCTAAGTATCAAGGTTGTTGGAAGAACAGTAGGGTTAGCTTTGTATATGTGATATTTATTGTCTACAACATCTTCCCAGCCAACACAACAATTTTTTTTTTTAACACTCTGTAGTATGCATACTGAGAAGTGTTCATTTCATTAAAGTGCCCATATTATGCCATTTTTAAGGTTCCTAATCTTGTTTTTTGGGAGTCTCCCAGGTTTACATGCATGCAAGGTCAAAAAAATGCTTTAGTTTTCTCAAAATATGCATTTATTATAATCTCATTTTCCAATGATTCTTTCAAAGCAGTTCAAAGATTCAGTCTCTAAACCCCTCCTTTCTGTGAGCCTGCTCTGCTCTGATTGGTCAGATGGCCCAGTCTGTTGTGATTGGTCTACCGCATACAGCACGTGGCAGATACATCCATTGCCATAACCACTGATTCTTTGCAGCCTCATCTTTCGGAAGTGAAATAAAATGAATTTACTTTCACAGCATAGGACACTGTTTCTTCTCAACATGAACAAGCTCGAATTACTGACGACTCGTTTAGGCTGGTCAGAGTTGATTCTTACTTTTGGGAGACAACAACTTTATTTATCTTGCACTTTCAGCTTTACAACTTTGCAGATCATTTAGAGTTAGAGAGCCTAGGTGCAACCCATCTGGGCCCCACATGGGTTTGCTTGGCTGGTTTTATTGTTCTTTTAACTATTTTTGAGCTGACATTATTGAGTATGTCACTCATCTTACAAAAACGGTATCGAAAGATCATGCATTCATTTATGTAGCCTAGCACGATAGACTACTGCAGGTGAGCATTTAGAGATTTATTGATACTGACTTTATTTCATAGGTAGCATCCCTGTAGTGTCTTATTATTCTAATTGACTTTATTGATTAATTGTAATAATTTGACCTGAAAGATGATGTATACCTTTTGTAAGGTTAGAAAACTAGCTATTATAAAGGTATAAATGCCCCTGGAAACCAGTTTAGGGGAGCAGATATAGCCCTTTAGTGGAAAAATACATTTCTGTCATGGTCTAAAAAACTAACCACTGCACAGAATGTATAGAATATGGTATTTTGCCCTGTAAGGGCCACCTAATGAAATCCAATAGAATGCATCCTGCATTGTTGTATCTTTTCTTGGTGCTGCTGTGAATAATGCTTAAGTTGCTGCAGTTTAAGTCAGTGGTTCCAGGGTTTACTAATATCTTTCATGAGCCTCATTAATGTTCTTATCATTATGATTGGTAAATTGTCTGACCGGGATATCACATAAATTATGGATCTTGATTTATTCTCAAATTTTCTAAGACAGATAAAACATGTAAATAATTATGCATACTATATAATTTATATTAATCATTGATATTATATATTAATAAATTTGAAGATAATCAATACAAAAATGCTCAAAGCTGAATAAAAGTGTAAAAGGTGCATACCTGGCATCAGAAGGATATATAGTGCTGTGTTGGCATACGCTCCACACTATGGGCTCATCTGGCTACAGAATCACCCATGCTTTTTACAACTTTTCTGAAGCACTTAGACCAAGATAAATATTATCCAAATGGAGGTGTGAAATAACAATTGGATTTTGCTTTAAATTTGCATTAGGATGTTAGACCTGGGGACTTCACAGCATATGCTGTGTGTGAACAGAAGGTGATTTGGATGGAAACCTTGGAAGAGGGCACACAGTAGGCAAATTATCCCTAAACTCTCAAATCTTTATTACAGTTTAGTCTACTTTTGTGGGAATGAGACCATTGTACCAGTCACACTGAGACATTTTAAATGACACCAAACATGAAAATGAAAATTCCTTGCATTCACACAGAACGTCTCGGTTACATATGTAACCCTCGTTCCCTGATAGAGGGAACGGAAAAGTTACGTCACATATGTCAGTTGTCGATGTAATGCTGAATGTGACTGAATGAAAGGGAACGTTGTATGTTACACATAACCATTCTGAGTGAACTGAGTGGAAAGAAGGATGGGTAAAGGGAGGGAAGTCAGGGAGATGTAACAAATGCAAAGGAAGAAGAGATGAAAAAGGAGTTCCCTATCAAATGGGAATGAGACACTGCGTCCCCTAGAGGAAACTTTGGGGAACACCCTCAGCGTTGACGGGTGTCTGAAGTGCATGTGGAAACACGACAATGAACTTCACATTGGCCTATGACGTGCCACTGGTGCGACCATGAGTATAACCGGTCTCCGGTCTCTTCC